GAATTGAGGCAGTTCTGAAGGCAAAAGGGGGTCCAACCCGTTACTAGCGTGGTGTACCTAATAAAGTGGCCGGTGAGTGTATATGTATGTATAAATCGCAGATTATGGAGGAAAAATAAAACAGAAAAAAACATGTAACATACAAATACAAACACCAACTCCAAGTTCAGAAATTCAAGCTCATTGTTCACAGTTCATATGGTTTAGAGTTAAGAGTTTGTGGCAATAATCCACAAAAATTGTGTTTTTAAAACAATGAGGCAACTCACCAATGAGTAGATGATAGAATGGTTTCAAGTTAATTAGTTGTAGAAGTCGCACAAGTTGTTTAGCAAACAACAAACAGCCACAGTGAGCAGCAGCACGAAACAGGAAGTAGTCACACTGGCTGCCCCGGAACTTAAATAGGGTGCAGCAGTAATGAGGGTCCGTGTCAGAGGTCAAACTCGGGTAACATGGGTTACACAAATGTTCCATTTGTTTACATGTAGAGGRTGGATTTAAAGAATGTTCTGCAGTCAGCCAATAGATGGCGCTCATCCAGCTTTTGATCCTCTCTCGAGCTAGAAGAAATGATGGCTGGTGTTAACGTGTTTTATTTTTAAAACTTTATGGGACTTCTCTAAAACTTTAAGCATCTCTTTTAGCGGTGCTTGGAAATAATGTGCACAACGTTTCGATGTTGTAGGCAAATTATTTTAGAATAATGACCTGCTTCTCTAAAGCTAAGGTTGTTCTGTGTACAGACTGTTGTAAACTGCTGGTCAGAGCTGACAGATAGACTCACACTGTTGCCACGGCTAACTAAAGCTAGTAGGACATGAGCACTTGCCTTCAGCAGCTGTACCAACAGCTGATAACTAACAGCTTTGGTCAAGCGCAGAGAGGAAATCATTTCAGGGGCTACAACCTGCCACAAAGCATGAATAGCTTATGTTGATGGGGCTGAACACTCGGTACAACACTGTCCTGGTYGAAACAATTGCCCACAGTAATGAAGCAGGCAGGTCTAAGTCTATTATCTGGTACTTGACTTCTTTATCACTTTTAATCTGTGAACAGGCACCCTGGTTGACTGTGAGAAAGCTGGGTGTCTTGGCTATTCCTGGAGGCAGTGTTGATGTTATTATGGTTCTCCAAAGGAAAACCACGTGTGTAGACTCACCTCTGGCTCAAGGTTCAGGTCCACTTTGAGAGGCAGCAAATCTTAGGGGTTTGACATTTCCTCAYTTACTTTTCTGACTTTTACTTTGAAAGGGTTTTTTAAAAAGAAAAAGCTCATTACGTTAAAAGACAGGTGATTGTTACTTGTGGAAATAAGCTCGTTTGGAGGGTAATGGCTCCTTTATTCATTTATACACTGCTCAAAAAAATAAAGGGAACACTACTGCTCAAAAAAATAAAGGGAACACTACTGCTCAAAAAAATAAAGGGAACACTTAAACAACGCAGCTAAGTCCAAGTAAATCAAACTTTTGTGAAGCACATTCAACTCTGTACAGAACAAAGTACTCAATGCGAATATTTCATTGATTAAGATCGGGAGTTAGCGTGCGTTGTTTAAGTGTTCCCATTATTTTTTTGAGCAGTGTATATTGTTTTTTCTTTCATATATAATAACATGACATTATTTTCTTACCTATTTTTTAACTAATCAGTTATTTTCACTCTAGTGTCTTAGTGTCTGCTCATAACTGTACTCGTGCTTAATGCTCCTTTACCCTCCCCACCAACACCTCATGCTGCATTTCTGTTCTCTTGTATTCCACCTGCCACCCCCACCCCCCCCTCTACTTCCGCAGTGCCAGACTCTGTCAAGCTCGACCCCACTCCTCCACCTGCCCCCACCAGCCCCGGTGCCACCCCATCCGCAGCCCCGTGCAGTGGAAATGGCAAGCGCGCCCCCTCTGGATGCCAGCCGCAGACTTTGCTCCAGCAGCGCTACCCACCCCGAGAGGTACCTCCACGCTTCCGCCAGCAGGAGCAGAAGCAGCTGTTAAAGAGGGGCCAGCCTCTGCCCTCCGGGACCCCGCCGCCTCTCCTCGCCACGGGACATCCCAACACTAGTGAATCTGCAGCAGCAACAGTAGCCACAAACTCATCTCCATCCCGCTCCTCCTCCTCCTCCTCCTCAGCCAGCTTGCCCACAGGTCAGCCTAGACACTCAGTTGGCAAGTCACCATCTCCTGTTTCCTTTCTCTGTGCATGCTTAAAGAAATGATGTATTATAAATATTGCAAAACCTTGCAAAGAGAAGCTTGGTGTTTGAAGAAAGGAGGTTTGTTCTGAAATACTTATTGACATTATTATCAGAGAATCAGATCAGTTTTATGTGCTTATAAAGCAGTGCAGAAGAATTAGCATCACAGGTGTTGCTGCCTACTGTTTATTTTTCACTTTGCCTGGCTGTGAGTTCGAACTGGGGATTGAAGGATTCTGAGGTAGAGGATGCAAAGTAAACACAGCTGGCTGTCTTTGCGACTTCATGTGTCTGTTTGAAATCCTTCCTGTTGCTTTTTGGAAGTTGTAAGTATTAATGGTCTGTTCTTTCCTGCTCAAGTGTTATCTGCTCTTTGTGGATGAAGATTATTTAGGACACTTATCTCAGAGCGGTACAATTGAATTCACCATAACTGTGTGTCAGGGCATCACCTAGCTGCCCTGATTCTGTTTGTTTGCAGATTTATCTCCATAGGAATGATATGTTTATCCTCTGCGCCTCACTTTCTCCTCCCTCTCATTAACGCCCTCATACTCGGCTCCTCTGAGCTTCAGTATTTCCTGCTTTTGGAGGAGGAGAAATACAGATTGAGCTAGTTGGCTCACTGCCGCTGTGGGGCTGAAAGAAGGAAAGAAAGAAGCAGAGAGCGAGTGTGGCAGAGGTCCAGGACCGTGGGTTGAAGTGACTCATGGCTTACGGTAAAAGCTGCTGCTTCTCACCGCCCCTCTCTGGCAGACCGGTTCGACTCTGCTTTTGCTCTCTGCGCGTCTTTGAACTGACAGACCGGACCTTTCGGACTAAAAGGCGGGCAGGAGGCCAGCCAGCTCCATAATCAAGGCAACTTATATCCACCCAAATGTTTTTGATGAGCACAGCGTTCTTTGTTCGTCTTTGACATCTTTGATGTCAGTTTTTTAAAATACACAGCATTTTTAAATAACTCACTGCAGTTAGTTTCGCCTCCATCATGCTTTTCTATCACACACCAGAGAGAACGATTGTCGCTCTCTTTCATGCCGTTTTCGTAAAAACACACAGGTTGCATTCAATACCCTCCTTCTCCTCTTCTCTCCATTCTCTGACTCCACCTCGCCTCTGTATTTCATTACCCAGTTACATGTGAATTCTCCTGAAAAGCAGACTTAAGAAATGTCTTGTGTGTTTGTGTTCAGTTGTGTGAGTGTACACAAACATTTCCTTCCTCTCTAGTCTGGTGCGTCTTTGCTCACCTTGGCTGTAAAGGCATGTAAATACTGGACTGGCTGGTGTGTTTTAATATCCCGGTTGATGCTGATGTTTTAGAGTCCATATTGATAAAAGGTATAACCTTTAGGGTAAAATAAAAACTGTCCTTATTAAAGCTATTTAGTGCTGTAACATAAGAAAATCACATTAGCCATAATTTGTTTCTCAAGTTGTCTGATTCAATACTCGACTTCTCTTTGATTGTTTAGATAAACTTGTGTAGAATTATTTTTGGAGATGATCGTAATCTTAGTGTTGGTGATGTTTTAAATGCCCTTTTTGTATTTTTAAAGCATCTTTAATGATACTTTGAACATAATTATTGACGTTTCACATACCGGCTGGGAGTCACAGACACATCAAAAAGGCACCTTGCTGTAAACAAGCCTTATTAAGTTAAGGAACTGTGCTGCTAATGCGCTAACAGCTTGTCTGTTGGAGGAGGAGTGTGTCCATGCACGATAGACTTGATGTGCTCTTTAAGTCTGCTGATGATGCTGTAAAAGAGCCTTGGGAATCCCCTCAAAGACGGCTGGGATGTCTTGTGCTGTGATTAAACATCAACTCTCTGTTAACCACAAATGTTCGACATTCGCTCTTGTTTTTTTTTTTTTTCATCTTGTCTGACTTGCTCTGTGCCTTTGCTCCTCTGGATTTCTCTGCAGCGCTCTCTTTCTCTGACGCACATGTTCTCCCTCCTCCACCTCCACTATACCAAAAAACACAGCTCGCACATATTCTTGTTGGCCCCAGGGTGGGCGGGATTAGTCAGGCTGTGCATTTTATATTCATGTCAATCTCCCCATTATTATAGTCTTATTCTGATGTTTCCTTTTTGCATGAGTAACAATCCAGATCCCGAGGCATTTTCATGCAGTGAAGGTATGAAAGAGGAAGCTATTTCAGGACTAGCATGCTGAAGACAGGCCTTGACCTGGTTTATTCTTCAGAGAATGAGGATACTGAAAGGGAAACATGACATCCAGATGCCTTCGTTAGGTTTTAGRCGTTACATTAGAATAAATGCCAATCCAACAAACAATTTCTGTTATATACTTGAGTAAAATCCCTGATGTGACAACTGTGATGAACAAAGCAACAAAATGCACATGCTGTCAGCTCTTTGAATGAATCTCAGAGCATTATAATGAACTCTTAAGTGCTACATGTACTCAGGCATATGCAAATTCTTATAGTTTTCTATTTTTCCTTTTATTTTCTTGTGAAAGCACACTATGATGCTACATGTCTCCATCTTAGTCATATTTTTAAATTTACGTGACACACATTTTTACTCATGCAATAGTGAATAAATAGTTTCATCTTTCACCTCATTGTAGTGTAGGTGTTTCAGAATGCTCTGTAGKTCTTATTGCCAGTTTACAACCACTGGAACAGAGATGCTGTATCACAATCCWGCTTCGTTTTAGCTGCCAACCTCAATCACAATTAAATTTTCAACCCATTCATGGCGTAATTGGAATAGTTAATGTGCTATGTGGATTGTTTTTGATGTTCATTTAGGATGAAGTCAGCATTAAAAGACTAGATTTTAAGTACCGTTTACATCTGCTGCTGTATTTTTATTTTTTTTATTTTTTTTATCATGTATCTGATCACAAACAGAATGAAGAGGTAGCACATTCCTGGGGAGGTGTGTGTGGGTTTTATTGAAGAGCACGATCATCTGCCTGGGCAGCATGCATTGTCAGCTCTATGCCATCCAGTCTCTCTGCCCCTCTGGGACTTCATTAAACCCAGGATCAGTACAGCTGAGGCCCAGACAGTCCTTCTAGATCATTTCCTACCATTTCCCAACATCCATCTCTGTCCTTCATTTATTATTATTTTTATTTTTTGTCCCCCACCTCTTTTTTTCTCCTTTGGATGTCTCCCACGTTCTATTTCCAGTCCCTTTATTTCTATACGTGGACATTCTCAGCTTCTAGCAGGACAGATATCAGTTATTTTGATCAATATTATAATCACGATTATTGAAAACAAATCAACAAATGTGTCTACTAAATATGTGATGAAATTGTGAATTGATTGAAGAAAAGTCAAATTTGTTGGAACAAGGACAAAAAACTTCTGACAAGTTATATATCATTCAGTTTTTTTTAATGGATCAAGTCTGTCTAGTTTTTGTGCACGTTATGAATAATACATATTATTTAATAAAAAGCTCTGATAGGGAGTAAATCTGCCGATCTGTTTTATTAGTCGTACAGTATGCGTGTTAACCTTCATTCTCAGATGTAATCGTAGATAAACTGTGTCCATGACCTGATCGTGCATTAGATCCTCGCAGCAGAAGGACAAGAGGCTGAACCTCAGCCATAATAGGACTCTGTTCTCTCCCAAACATTGACTTATTGTTGTGTTGTGAGGGTGCTGGGATAATTAGTAAACAATAGCGGCCTTGATCCAGGGGGGGCTGCAGATTTTTTTATTTTATTTATTTTTTACTAAGCTTCATGTCTTTCCTGCCCTCTTGTCTTTGCCTACTACCTTGTGGGTGCTTTTATTTTTAAGTAGATTGTTTGCAGACCTCTGTCTCAGCTATGTTAGTTGTTATAATAATGAAATGTGAGCAGATCAGTAGCTTCTCAACATGTGCATACTTTATGTCTAGACTGCATCCCAGTAAAGGGATTTGTTCCTTTCCAAAGCATTCTTTGTGTTCACCGTGTTTCTCGTTTCAAGGGCAAAAAAACAGGCGATTGTCATTTGATCTGATCGTACAGTAGTACGTATTAGGGTTGGGCAATATTGGCAAAGAAATTAATCCCGATTAATTGTGTTATTTAGCCGATAACGATTAATTTGACGATTAATCCCCTGGAGTCCCTCATATTCTAGTCACATGACCAATTTAGTGGGAAAGATTTGCCCTTCATAAAAATCTGTTCCAAATTGTGTCAAAATTACTTCAGGCAGAATTGTAAATTGTGTTGATAGATAAATTACAGAACTTTTTTTTTTAAATATTCATCGTATTTTAAGCAGAGAGGAGCAACGAGTGCACTCTGCCCGGTGACATTAATCGTATTAATCATCAAGTGCCAAAAAGTAATCGATTAATGTTTTTCTGACGATTAATTGCACACGATACGATTATGCCCAACCCTAGTACCTATCTTTTATTAAATATACTCAAATGTGAGGAAATTGCATACTTTTAAACAGATTCCCTTTGTGGCTGCAGTGCTAATTGTAGATGGGTCTAAATATTTGGAAAGACCTAAATTAATGAAAAGAGGTTTGTGGAGTTACGCYTCCTCTTTTTTTATGTTTTGTTTTACTCCGTGCCTTGCGTAATGAAAGTCTCCAGACTCCCCCATTTCTTTTAAGCACCAGCATTCCCTCCCCCATCTAAGCCTCGTTTCACTGCTTTTCCAGAAAGGGAGAATATCCTCCGTCAGGACAGGAATAGATCGTGATATAAATAAAACCAGAAGGAGGCAATAGATAGGAGAGGACAGACCCAGCCAAAGCTATGTTGGTGGGAGGGACAAAGCAAGACGGGCGAGGAAGGAAGGGAGGTGTGGAGGAGGTGGGATGGGGGTTGTTTCATGCCGCGCAAGAGCTGTGCAACTTCTTGGCAGCATTTCAGAAATGAGCCTCAGAAGCTTGGCGAGCCGAGCAGACATATTGAGACAAGGATGGTGGCTGCGTTGCACAAAACCTAGCTTTCTGCAGAATGGTTGGGAGGCACCTCTCCACAGGTATTTCATTACCATGTTGCACCTCTCCCCTCCTGTCTTCTGTTTCTGTGTTTTGCTCTTTTTGCTGTCCTTTCTGCGCTGTTTTGGCAGCTTATATTTACATTTTGTGTAAATGAATACTTTTCAGCAMTTAAGCTGCAGTGACAGTGTTTTGCCAGTTTGCAGTGCTGAGTTCCTACACTTTGTGTTTATCAATACGGGTGAGACTTGTGCCTTTGAAGCAATTGTGGAGACACAGGCAGCAGAGAGAGGCTTTTTGGCTCTTATTCAGCACTGAGAAAATGGCGGTCCTGCACTTTACAGCAGAGAGAGAGACGTTACAGACGACAGTGCTGTGTGTCAGAAACACAGTGCCCTCTTTTTTTTGTTCTCACTCCCTGCTCGCACTGTGTACTCTCTCCCTTCTATGTAGAGGCAAGTGTTGTGGTGATATTGAAAACATGGGGTGGCACACAAATGCTGTCACTTCCCTAATGTAGTTATGACATAGACACTACATTTGCATACAAACAGTGTGTCCATGTGAGGGGCCATGTAAACAACGACTGCAGTATGAGAGAGCGGAAATAAGACTGCTTGTTTTATCAGTGTTGTGTTCTGTTATTGGACATTTTTTCACTTTCTAAAGCTCTAAAACAAACAGACTAAAGCTTTACTTTGTTAGAGCAGTTGCATGGAATGATATTGAAAAGACTGGCTTCCCTGGACTGTTGTAGAGCTGTAATGTATTTTTGCTTAATGTTAATTTAAGATCATGGCTGTAGCAGCTACGAAGTAACAGGCTAGGGATGAGCCAGCTGCATGACTCTTGTCACTGATTATGTGTAATTTGGTACTCAAACATGAGAGCGTTTCTGGGTTGACACGCTGACCCAGGAAGATTTGGTGTTTAGCTATTTGAACAACTGTTTTGTGTATGTGATAAAGCCATAWATTATTTTAATTGCTTTGCTAAACATTTTTAAATATAGCACAGACTCCACTAGATTCACTTTAAACTTTATCTACAGAATGTAATTGAATAGTATGTAATCATTAAAGGAGCATTTAGTTTATTTTTTATTGCAGAATAAGTCCTTTGTGTCCTTTTTCTGTCCAACAAATTTTAGCGTAGTGCCTGACCATTTAAAAAATGTATTGAGTTTTATTATTTCTGAAAGGTCTTTGATTAAATAAATATAACTAGTTTTGTGTCAACAGAACGGACAACCTGACGACAAAAAACAATCCGGAATTTGATCTTTTAGCACTTTATTAGCAATCTGTTACAAAGACACAAATTTTTTCCAATTATCTTAGTTGAGTGTATGAAAAATACCAAAGAAAACATTTTGCTACATAAAATAGTAATTTAAAACAAACAAAATGATTCTCAATGAGCTGTTACTTGAAACCTATAGTGGATTATCAACTGAAGGATGGTGCATCTTGTTGGGTCTTTGCTGGAATTTTGTCCCGTTTCTTAAAGACATAATTTTCAGATTATGTTCACCTGTTATATATTTTATGTTTAGTTTTYTTTTTGCCCTCTACTGGTTCATTTTACTTGACACTAGGGCTGCCACAAAAGATTATTTTAATAATCGATTAATCACCGATTATTTATTCGATTAGTCGACTAATCGGATCATACGTTAATTGAATATAAAACATACAGCTTATCACATCAGAATACAGCTGCTATTGTATAACCATCGTTAGATTTTAGCTATATGCTAACTAAAAATAATTACTGTGGAAGGCAAGCTCTGTTCTGCAGAAATTGCACAGGTTTCTCTTTCATTTTCTTAAAATGATCCCACACTTTTGAGTTCCGTTGCTGGGTAGCCATGATACCAGAGCCTGTCTGTATAATGTCTTGTGACGTCCACGGCCTACCCCAGTTACCACTACTGTGCATGTGTGTCAAGGACAGAAAGGCAGATGTGGCAGTGGACGGTGTCAAAGCAGTTTGGAGAGAAAAACAAAGTAAAGAACAACAACAAAAAAAGAAAACAATCTATTATTAATTTAGTCATCGATTATTTTAATAATCGATTAGTCGTCGATTAGTCTATTAATCGTGGCAGCCCTACTTGACACAAACTGACCATATTGCCCTGGTAAAATACAAGTCGGTACAAGACAAAATWATTAAAAAAGCAGTCAAAATTTAAAGAAAACTGAAAGAGCTTCAGATAACCTAAAGAACTGTTGATCAAGGTTACTCTAAAAGACTTGCAAACATTTGTGGATGTTTAATTTTTGTTTTGGTTAGTGTAAACTTTAGTGTTGTGTATAAGTAAGCACCTCCATGAAAGTATGTGCATAGGTCTTTTTAAAGTAGTGTAATAATGTTTGTTAGTTCTGCCTTATTGACCAAGTTTTTATTTACTTATACTCATTTGATTTTTTGTTTCCTTTTTCTTACCTAGAACTGCCCCCACAGAGTGGCCAAGAAGCCCAGTATGATAACCCCTCTTGGGGACATCTGCCAGCCAATAGAAGTGCCACAAGTGCTGCATCTTCCACCAATCTCAGTGGCTGGGATAAACTGATCATTGACCAGAAGGACACAGAGGCTTGGCCCTCTATAACCCTCAGCCAAAGCCAGGCCCCTCCAAAAGGATGCCCTTTGGACACTGACCCTGGTCACCTGACCAGCAGCAGCAGTAGTACAAGCAGTAGTTGTAGTACAGTGAGTATGGCCACGGGGGCCAACGGTCAGACAGGCCACTTTCCTGCCAACCACCTTAGCAGCAAAGCCAACAGTGGGCCTAGCCCTGCCAATCATACTGGAACCAGCATGCTTTCTAGCCAGGTTACAACCAATCGTGGTTGGGGCTCTGGACCTGGACCTTCTCATTGCCCCTCCCAATCCTCAGTGGGGAATGAAGMGAAGTGTGACAGCCCAGTGGGAGGAGGAAGCAGAGGCTGGGGTTCCTCTTCATCATCCTCCGCTAGCAACTTTAACTTGAACCTTAACCCCAGTGCTAACCCATCTGCCTGGCCCATGTTGGGACACGATGGGGGAGGCAGCTCAGGGGGAGCCAACACCATTTCATCTCCTCAAACTACAACCAACCTCTGTAATCCTCCTGGCCTCCCACCAACTCAGACCAGCACCTGTTCTGGAGCCAACACTAACAGCAAGTCCTCTGGTATTGGCAGCGCATGGGGTAACATAATGGCTTCTGATGTGTCAGAGTCACACCCCACCCCATCCACGAATGTGTCTTTCAGTTCAGAACCTCAGAACCTTAAAACTGATGGACCAAATCAGACTCAAAAGCAGGAGCCTCCCAGCCCAATCCGAAAATTGCCTGGATGGGGCAGTGCACCTGCAGGCATGAGTCCTATAGGACAGCCACCGCCAGGAGGTTCACAGGTCAATGGAGAAGATGATAACTCTTTATGGGGTAACAGTGGCAACTCAAAACCAACTTCATCAAAGGAGGGACCTGGCTGGGATACAGCCTGGGGCCATGGAGGAGGTGGACCAGGGAACTCAGGAGGCTGGGGTGAACAGTCTAGTGGAGACTGGGGGAAGCAGCATAGTGAAGAGACCCAGGGAAGCTGGGATGCACCCAGCTCTCCTCCCCAGGATTCACAAGGTAATCATTGGAGCAGAGCTGTGAGCACAACTGGTGCCAGTGAAGGTAGCAGTGACAGCATAGATGGATATTCCAGACGAAGAGACCACCCATCRAGAGATAAACCAGTTCCTGTTCTCCCTGCCCAGGAGCTAGACCCTAGGGTTCTGTGTAACACTGGTTGGGGACAGACTCCTGTGCGCCAGCACACCACCTGGGACATGGATGATACTAAAAGAAAGAATGATGTTGGGACTGAATCCTGGGGATCTGGTCCATCTACTTCAAGTGAAGCGCAGGGACCCTCAAACACCAACACAGGCCCTTCTCAGAGGACTGACAGTGGGAATAAAAATGATGTGCCTGGTTCTCAGGGAGCTTCTGGTTGGGGTGGAAGCGTAGCTGCTACACACCTGCCGGGCTCTGGTTGGGGAGATATATCCAACAATGTTAAGCACCCGGTTGGACATGGAAGTTGGGTGAACTCTTCATCAGGAGGCACTACCAACAATATACCCAAGAATGGTGGTCAGTCCTGGGGAGAGGAAAAATCAGCAGGGTGGGAGGATTCTCAAAGCAAGTCAACACCCCAGGGCTGGGGAGAACAACCCAAAACATCCCACTCCTGGGGCAATAGTGGTGCAAGCAATACAGGGGATTGGAATGAACCAGAAGAGAGCAAGAAGACTTCCACAAACCCCGATTGGGAAGGAGAATCTGGAAACTGGAAGGAAAATCAAAGAGACTGGGGGAGGTCGACTTCAGGACCGGGGATGTCTGGAGCTGGAGGAAGTGGGGGCTGGGGTGAGTCAACGCCCCAGCGTCCCTGTGGTCCTCCTCAGGGCTGGATGGGCAAGCCTCAAGATGGGCCCAGCAGTAACAGCAGTGGCGGAGCGGCCATGGGCTCTTGGGGTGGCTCAAACTCAGTGAAGCAGGGTGCAGGATGGGGTGGTGGTAAACCAGAGTCCTCAAATGAGCCTACTGGCTGGGAGGAGCCATCTCCACCATCAATCCGGCGTAAAATGGAGATAGATGATGGGACGTCTGCTTGGGGTGACCCAGGTACCTACAATAAGGCCGTCAATTTATGGGATAGGAACAATTCAGGAAAGACCCAGGCTAAAGTTACCACAGGAGGAAGTAATCCCTCAGCATCCAACAATAACCACCCKCACTCTCACAATCATTCTTATCATGGGCCGCCTGCACCTTTACAGAATCATAGCCAAAACACTCAAAACCCATGTCCCACCAGTGGGCCTATGGATCCTTCAGTGCAACACCAGTCTGGGCAAACGCACATCAGAGGTCCACTGATGGCTCAAGGTAATGACTTTATTTTATTTTATTTTATTTTATTTTATTTTATTTTATTTTATTTTATTTTATTGTGTCAATTAACAAAGTTGCTCAGGTTGACTGGCTTATTATTCCTTGATTACTTTCAAAATATTTCAAAATTTAAAAGATATTTTACTATTCCATCTCATGCAGTTTAAGCTAAATTATTATTATTTTTTTTTTATATGCTCAGAGTTAAGGTGCCAAACATGAAGGCTGTTTAGGTAGTTTGTYCAGTGCACTATTAAGCTCCAAGCTGTTGATCCACTTAAGGTAAAATCTTGACCTAGTTTGCTCTCTTCGGATTTGCATTTGATCGACTCTTTAGATCAGTTAGACTGTGCCAGCTCTGTCCTTTCAATAGGCTTCTCACATTTCACAACACTGGGTACAACTGTGTGTGTGTGGAGGTGGAGTTGGGGGGTGGTAATCCTGGCAGCCCGACATGGGTACCGAAAGGAAGAACAAAAATGCTGTTTACAACGCGKCTCGTGAAAATACTGATTTGCCACCAACAGTTTGAGACAGATCGGAAGTGTGCGATTAAATGGAAGCTACCATCTGTCAGTAGTTTAGGGGAGGAGGTGGAGCCAGCTCCTAGGCACCAAAAGAGAGCAGATGCCCCCTGCAGTTCCTCATTAGACCCTGCATGCACTTTCTGTGTTAGGCTTGGACAGAATCTCAATGCAGATTTTTCTTTTTGTTTAGAGTGTATAAAACAATGAAGAATATATACAGTTTCTTACTAATGTGGGGATAAAATGACTGTTGCGTCTTGTGCTTCTTTAAATGATTATAACTTTTCAATCCAGAACCAGTTGACTGTAACTTTGGAGCAGCCTGTAGGACTTGACCTTTCCCTGGAGGAAGAGCTTAGCTAAGTCTGGCATTACAGCAGGCGTAGCAGCAGCTCCGTGCCTCTCATGCCAAAAGAGACTAGTGTGCGCCAGATCTTAAATGGGGACCTCCTCCCTTTACCAACAGCCCTGCTCAGCCAAGACCAGTTTTCTTTCTCCCTGTGTGACTGGCACCACACACTGATAATTTCCAAATAGTCACATTTAACATTCAGTTTAAATAAATGAATTGGAAACAAAAAACTAATTAAAAGTGATCATAATTCATCTTTTTGGAATGTCTGATAATGTGTGGCCCACAAATTTAGCAAAGCGTTGGTTCAGAATGTGAAATGTTTCATGAAATTTCCAGTTATTTTGGATTAACTGACTGTTAAAAGAAGTCTAAACTGTTGCTTTAAAAGTTTCTAATGTTTTTTAAGAAGTTTGATGTTATATGTTGCATAAATTATCTGTTGTAAGTTTCAAACATTTTATATAATTTGAAACATTGTAATTTCCAGATAATTGTATAAAAAAAGCTGGATTAATTCTGATTTTCATTGTTTATGAAAATTCTTTTCTGTGCTTATGTTGAATGACTCCAAGTGTTTCGTGAAGCATTCCTCTACTATTTCAAACAAGGCATTTAGAAAATGATATAAAATTTTTTGTACTAGTGGCAGCCCTTTTGTGTGTGATGTYTTCTCAAAATAAAAAGGTTTATAAATGTGTTGCGATGTTAATTTTGCACACTGACAAGTTGTTATCCTCGTGTCCTCAAGGTTGGGGAGATCTACCGAGCTCCCACACCAAATCAGAAAACTCCTGGGGGGAACCTGCACCCTCTCCGGTCAGCGTAGATAATGGCACGTCTGCCTGGGGCAAACCGAGTGGAAGCTCTGGTGGCTGGGGAGACGGCAACCCAGACAACTATCGCAGGAGCAACCCAACAATGACCACTGCTTCCTGCAAACCTGGTAAACAAATCCTGAATATTTAATCAGCAAGTAATAATGGTACCACGTTTTTGCTCCTATTTCYGTGTTTTTCTCCATATGAGTCAAATCAAGGACAATATGACACCAGGGAAGCCCTTTAAYTTCTACCAGTAGATTTACACTGACCCCTGGTGGCTGTAAGATTTGTACTTTTTAAATTTATGCTGCTGGTAGTTATTTTATCTGACCGAATTCTTCTCTTTTTTTTTTTTTTAGTAAGTCTTAGTTTAAGAACTTTAAAGTCAACGARTTTGCATTTGGTGACATGTCTCATTTTATGTTGCTAAATCTGTAAGACTCTAGTTTTTCTGTTTGTTTTTTAAGCTTTTTTTGTTTTGTTTTTGTCGAAAAAATACTACTTTTTTCCCCCATATTTACAAAAAAATCTAAGGAAATTTAAAATGTTAATGAGTGGGTTGTCGTACAATTTGTTAAGCATTTTTATAAATTCACATTACATTATTAACTGTGATCCTCTAAGTTAATTTATCATATTGCATCTAAAGGTTTTGTGCTTCTGGTTTAAACACCTAAAATGTTCTGAAAAATGTAGAAACATGCACAATGTGTGTCGTTATTATTATTATTTTTCACTTAAGGTAAACTCTTCATGGTCTGTAAATATGCTTTTGCCGTGTTTTCCAGCCGCCAAACCTATGCAAGATGGATGGGGAGGAGGAGGGGGAGGGGGAGGTGAAGAGCTCAGCCTGTCAGGGGGTCAGTGGGATGCTGAGGAGGGAGACGTGTGGAACAGCACCGCCTCCCAGGAGAGCAACGCTTCATGTAACTCCTGGGGCAACGCATCCAAAAAAGCCCCTCAGAAGGTCTGAAGCTTTTAATCACARAGTCAGCATGCGCCGTTACTTTGTCCTTACACTGTTCAACTACAGAACAGGAATGAGTTTGTTGACATGTCTGCCTCATTTCAGCTGGTTAGTAAGGAGATTTTATCATCTCATAAGTATTTTTTAATATAAATTGGTACAATGTTGGGTGGTGACTTGAACACCTTTACATCTCTGTATGTTTTGTATCTGATTTACAGTTTGTGCATGTTAAGATTCATCCATTCTGTGTGGTTCTAGTGACGTCTGCCAACCTCAGGCTATAAGAAAATATTAATTTATTTCTTATTTTGGCTCAAAACTCATAGAGGAACACATAGATAATGTAATCCAGTTTAATGTATGCGCACAGGGGCAACGCGACTTCTACTAATAACACGTTCTGGCCTTAAAGAAATCTATTCTAGTCAAATATGTAACCAGTCAAATCCCACTGAGATCACAGATCTCGTCTGAAGGCAGCCTAAGCGTGCATATGTTTGTGTTGAATAATGTTTGGATAAACATGTTGGCATGTATTTGAAAGAATTTGGCTTCATTTGAACTAACAGATTTTTTTATTTTCTACTACATTTTCTGATTGAATGAGCCTTTGCTTTTGTTTGATAATGAAAATTCACAGTGAAATGTTTGTTTGTATTCAAATCGCCTCCCTCACCTCCATCAGGTGAAAGTCCCCGGGAAGCAGGAAGATGCCTGGATCATGAAACATCTCATCAAACAGCTGACAGACATGGGCTTCCCTGTGAGTTCATTGTACTTTATTTTTGTCCCTGATCAGATGAGTTTATCACGTATTAATTTAGTGTTTTCACATTGTATGAATCAGTTCCCTTTAAAAACTGGTTGTCAAAATTTGGCACATTAATAAAGTTTTAAATTTGTCTTTATTGTTGCATTGCTTTGTTTTCAGAGGGATCCAGCAGAGGAGGCTTTGAAAAGCAACAACATGAACTTGGATCAGGCCATGAGTGCCCTGTTGGAGAAGAAGACCGAGCTGGACAAGCGTGGGATGGGGATCGGRGGCCACGACTTCAACAACGGGCTCATCAACAAGCCCATGAGCTGCCCTCGGCCTCCGCTTCTTTCCAAAGACCCCTCAGCAGATCCTCGTTTGCCCTTCATCGATAAGGTGACGCATTCAGTAAAGCACACAAAACAGCTTTTTAGTGTGGCGTATCATTATTTGCTACGCGGGAAGCAATAACTGGCATTCTGTGTTTGGCAGCAGATGCAGAGTGGAATGTTTGGCGGCAGTGGAGCAGCACAAGCCCGGGCCATGCAGCAGCCGCAGCCGCAGCCGCCTCCTCAGCCACCAGTGCTGCCTCTCAGCTCCTCTCAYCCTAGTCTACGTGCTCAAGTGCCTCAGTTTCTCTCCCCTCAGGTACTCTCATGCTCACCTAATTCACTGACACACGTGTTGCCGAATTTATCCGTCYCTTCATGAGCAGATTAGTAGGCAAGCAACTGAATTAACGCAACAATAAATATTTAAATTTGAGATTGTTTTGTTTTTAATTACCATGACAAGCGGACTTATCAACAGACATTAAGTGTTTCTTGTTATCCACCCACAGGTTCAAGCACAGCTCTTACAGTTTGCAGCAAAAAACATTGGTCTGAATCCTGCACTTTTAACCTCACCAATAAACCCTCAACATATGACCCTTCTGAATCAACTTTACCAGCTGCAACTGGTGAGTATTTTAGCACCGTTTTATTAAATAAACTCAATTTTATTTAGAGATCGACTGATACAGGTTTTTTAAGACCGATACTGATTATTAATAGGGTGTTGACCCGCACCAACAGAAGGGTTCATATTACCCCGATTCTAAAATCACTCCATTGGCTCCCAGTGGTTTTTTTTTTAAGTTTAAAATCCTGGTGCTAACGTTTAAAGCTCTTCATGGTCAGGCTCCCTTATATATTAAAGCCCTGTTGTGTCCGTTTTTACCCTCTGGAGGGCTGAGGTCATCAGATCAGAATCTTCTAATGYTCCCCTTCACTCATTTTAAGGGGATCTAGAGGTGATCGCTCCTTCCAGGCCGTCGCTCCAAGGCTCTGGAACGATCTTCCACTCTCAATACGTGTACTTGATTCTGTGGTTGCTTTGAAGAGCAAACTTAAAACTTTCCTTTTTTATAAAGACTTTTAACAATTCCCGTGTGTTGTCTGTTTCTTAGCATTTGTTTTATGATGTTGTTGATGTTTAATTTTGCACCTTTGTAAAGCACTTTGTGACCCTCTATGTCTGTGAAAGGTGCTATATGAACCTTTACTTACTTAGACATCAGTCTACCAATCCCTGACATGTGCTGCTGTTTTTTTGTTGGTTGGGCCGATTCTTGAAGCCAATATTGCTTTTTTTTCTTTTTTCCATTTACATGATAAAAATTACATAATGCTAACAAATGTTGCATAAGTCTGAATTTAAGCAAAAAAAGAAACCTTTACAAAACAAACAAAAAGCATATTAACAATGGATAGGAAACAATGTAGGAACACTTAAATATATAAGAATAAAAACAAACAATCTTAAGTTAAGATTGTTTTTATTGTTTTGGCGAATGCATGCGCATATCAGCTGGTAATGATACAAGAAAAATAAACACAAATATCAGCTGTCCAATYTATCGGTTGACCTCTAAATTTATTCTCAGAATAACAAACTTGGTTATAATAAAAAAAAATAATGCATTAGTCTTATATTGCACTTGTCTAGACACTAAAGACACTTCAAAGTTTTTCATGCATTATTTATTCATTCACACACTGATGGTGGTAAGCTACATTGTAGCTAAAGCTGCCTTGGGGCAGACTGACAGAGGCGGGGCTGCCATGCACCTGCGCCACCGGACCCTCTGACCACCATCAGCAGGCAAGGCAGGTGAAGCGTCTTGCCCAAGGGCACAACGACTGAGACTGATTGAACCCACTGGTTGCAGGACGACTCTCTCTAACCCCCTCAGCCACAGCTGCCCTAAAAATATCGTATTAAGTAGTTTTAAATTGGCTTTAGTTTTTTTATTTCATAGTTTCAAAAGCATGCAGGTTTTCTTTTTAGTATTAGACCTTAACAAACAGTGAAATCTTTTGACATTTGACTCCTCCTCGTTCTTTGTACACAGACGTACCAGCGTTTACAAATTCAGCAGCAGATGTTGCAGGCACAGCGCAATGTTTCTGGCCCCATTCGACAACAAGAGCAGCAAGTAAGTGTCCCTCTTCATATTTATTCTTTGCATTTTTCTGCTCTTTTCTCTGACGATTAAGATAATAAAACAAAAAAGAATCAGACATTTATCAATATCTGATACAGTTTAGCATCAAATGTTTGCCATYTATTTGTAACACTTGGACTGGATTTGTTGTGTTGTTGTCCCAGGTTGCACGTACAATCAATAACATGCAGCAGCAGATCCAACAGCACCAGCGTCAGCTGGCCCAGGCCCTACTGATGAAACAGCAGCAACAGCAGCAGACCCCCTCCCACTCGGGTCTGCACCCTGGTGGAGCCAAATCCACCCTGGARACATTTCCAGGTCACCCCCAGACTCCAGGCCTCCCCGACCTGCAGACCAAAGAGCCACAGTCCTCTCCCAACACCTACAACCCCTACGCTCTCTGTGAGTGCAGATACCATGTTCTTGTGAATACGCAATAAGAGATGGGATTATTTTTTTAACCATTTGTAACTTCTYTCCTCAGCTGGACTGAATCCAAACATGAATCCGAACTGTATGGATGTAGGCAGTCTTCCTTTGAAAGACCCACCCCAGCCCCAGTCACGGCTGTCACAGTGGACACACCCCAACTCCATCGAAAGCCTTTCTGGAAACTCCTCTCCTCTTGAGCCCAACTTAGGGAAGCATGGTGAGTCCAAACAAAGAAAACAACAACAACACAGCCACAGACCAGGTTCCTTGATTTTACAAAGAGATGCATCACTTCTCAGATTAATATTTGATTTGATTCAAAGTTATAAATGTGACCAAGGATTAATTATGCTTTATTAAAATGCAGATGTTTGAAGCAGAATGAGTGAATACCAATGATTAAAGCTTAGATTTGTGTCCTCCAGTAGGTGGCACATTTGTACAGTATATTAATGTGGAAGTGGGGATTTAGTTACTAATATTACAACATCAGAATGTTGTACAATACAATTTTGAACACTTGATTGACTAAATTCTTACCAGTTCTGTTATRAATAAATAGACGTGAACAAATGAAACAAGTTTAAATCTAAGGCTTGGTGGTTCATGCTGCAGTCTTGTAATTCTGAGGCTGCAGGTTTGAGTTCAGGTTGCATCAGGCTTTGGTAAAGACATTTCTCCTGACAATCTTGGGCCGTTGGCTTCATACAGCTGCTCTGCTGTCAGAAATTTGGGTTTCAATTTTGATAAAATGTTTAAATTGGACAGGCAGATAAACTCAGTGGTTAAATCGAGTCTTTTCCAACTAAGACTTAAGCTGGTTTCCCACCAAACGCGTTTGGAGCAGCCAAAATGCTCCTGCCGCATGCGTTTGGCTGCTTGTCAACAGCTGTCCYTTCACACCGAACGCGTCTAAAGACGCGCAATGGGAGGAGCGTCTTTGTTCTTTTTRRYGTCGGTTGACGTTTGAAATAAAGATAAAATAAATAAAATAGCTTTGCWTTATTTACTAAAGAGCAAGCAAACGTTGCGCACAGAGCAGATAATTAATTCACCAGATATTAGAGGCGCTCTGTCAGACTTTTTAAAATTTTTTATTTTTTATTTTCAGACGGGGACCAGACTGTCTTTAATGACGGGTGAAATAAAGATCAAATAAATAAAATGGCTTTGCATTATTTACTAAAGAGCAAGCGAATGTTGCGCACAGCAGATAATTAATTCACCAGATAATTTAGAGACGCTCTCACGGACTTTTTTATTATTATTTTTTTTCAGACCGGCACCAGACTAGAGGCTGAAGAGGGAGGAGGGTCTTGGTTTTTTTCCAGTCTGTCTTTAATGACTGGTGAAATAAAGATAAAATTAATACAATGGCTTTGTTTTATTTACTAAAGTTTCGACACCAGGAACTGCGAGCTGAGGGACTTTTTTGTTGTCCCGAGCTCAGCGAGCTGCTGCTGTCTCATCACATCGGTGCTGATCTCTCCAGCTAGAACACCAACTGCAGACTGTCGATTTCAGCTAAAAAGGCTCCTGTCAGTCTGTGTCGGGTTCATGAAACCGTCACGTGAAAAAAAAATTCTCTCCCGATTGGTTGCTGCTGCGCGGCGAGCAGCCAAAGTTCAATTTGTTGAACTTTAGCAGCCGCTGCTTTGCAGCTCCCGCATGTGCGGAAAAATGCTCTACCGCATGTTGCGCGCTGCTCTCAACTGGCAAAATGTGCCGRTACGTGCTGCGCTGCTCTTAGATGRGCYTRCACCATAGACTTTGCATGTAAACRGGCTGCTTTGGCTACTCCAAACGRGTTTGGTGTGTACCCGGCTTTATTGCTAACGTGAAGRCATACCTCCCAAACAAAGACKTRGAGAAAGTGATTCATGCTCTCATTACAYCTCGTTTGGATWAWTGTAATTCTTTTTATGTTGYTTTAGATAAATCTTCTCTGCATCGATTACAAGTTGTCCAAAACGCAGCAGCTCATCTTTTAACAGGAACTAAAAAACATGAACACATATCCCCGGTTCTGGCTTCTCCATTGGCTTCCTGTTCATTTTAGCATAAATTTTAAGATTTCATTGCTTACTTTTAAAGCTTTAAAAGGTCTGGCCCCATCCTACCTGTGTGATCTCGTCAACATCCACACTTCAGATAGAGCACTTCGGTCATCCAACCAGTTCTTCTTTGATGTTCCTAGARCCAGGCTAAAGTTTAGAGGTGATCGGGCCTRTGCTGTCTCTGCCCCAAAACTCTGGAATGATTTACCTCTACGGACTGTTGAGACTTTTAAATATCTACTTAACTCACTWTTACTCCCTGGCCTTTCATTCTGGTAGAGTTTGAGATTCTTTTAATGTTTTCTGTATTTTAAATTGATTTTACTGTCTACATTTATGTGTTGCTCAATTGTTTTATTCATTTGGCTTAATTGTGAAGCACTTTGGCCAACTTCTGTTGTTTTTATGTGCTATATAAATAAAATTGACATTGACATCAGGAAGGACATCTGGCATAAAATATGCCATTTGCCATAATTTAAAAWTTTTTTTCTTTTCTTTTCTTAGGTGCCAATCTGGGCCCTCCGGGGAAGCCCCCTCAGATGGACGACTCATACAACCCCTACAACCTGATGTCCAGCTCAGAGTCTCCCACCAGCCCGCTTGTTCCTCCAGAGAGCTGGGGGCCGAGCAAGAACAGCAGTGACAAGATGACGAACGGGACCAACATCAACTGGCCTCCAGGTTTGGAGACTTAATGTTTTCATCAAACAGTCTGGATGTTTATAAGTCACGTTAATGTTTACTGTAAAGTATGACGCTCTGCTTTATTCCTCCTGCTTTGTAAAGTTTTACATCAAAGTAAATGAGAGAAACAAGGAACTAGAAACAAAACATTCAGTATATCTTATTACGTATTGTTTATTTCTTTATTTCAGAGTTTTGTCCTGGTGTACCCTGGAAGGGTCTACAGAATATAGACCCCGAGACTGACCCCAACGTGACTCCAGGCAGTGTCCCCAGTGGACCCACCATCAACACCAACATCCAAGATGTCAACCGCTACCTACTGCGGGACAGGAGTGGAGGTAAGACCCAGCGATCTGTTCCAGGAGATGTTTTCATCTATTGTCAAAGTGTTTCACTCCCAGAACAACAACTAGTTCCCTTYGTTGGAAAAGAACCACAGTAATGAACTGTTACACGCCTGCAARGATAACAAGCCACTTTGTGCAGCGGCTGCTGTCGGAGAATCCTGCTTCTTTATTCTTTTGTTCTTCGTTTTCCTACTTTTAACTTCTGTTGTGTTCATTGTCACTCAGTTGAATTTCTTCAAAGTGATCGCATCATCATTTGTAGTATGTTTCTATTTTCTTTACTCCGTTTTCTCTCTGCCGCTTCTTTTCTTTTTTTATTGTTCTTGTCTGTTTGTGTTGCCGGCATCTGTTTAGGCTCCTCTCCCACTTCATGTCAGAGCGAGGCTCTGCCTCCGTCCACTGATTGGCCAGTCAGTGCCTACACTAGCTCGTTCAGTCTTTCGTCCCCAGAGATGGACGATGCAGGTACATGGTTTAAGTATCCCCCCACCCCCCGCCCCCCTTCCCTCCCCTTCACATTGCAGTGACTAAATCACTGCAGATCCTTTCCTTCGGTAGCTTAGGGCTCGGAGCTCAAAACAAACATTTCTCCTGCTTCATCCCAGTCACTGCGCCTGATCTCCATCTGAACTGTCCTTTGAGTTTTATATTTCATGCACACTCTCCCCCAGCAGCACTCATGTATCTCCTTTCTCCTTGTATGTRTGCTGGAATGTGTGAAACAGGAGAGCTTAGTTGGGTTTTTTTTCCTCAAGTTCATTTTAGAAAAGTTGTTTTTTATCCTGTGTCATAAACATGTTTCAAACACACCGTCTGCTCTCACTGTTTCCAAAGAGTCGTTTGAATGTAAAAGTTTTCTTTTTTTTAAGCCACTTCAGTAGAAAACAGAACTGAATGTTAATTTAGTTTCTTCATCATCAGTGACTTTTTTAATAGAAGAGAAGAAGAAAAAGAGAGAGAGATTAGATATATGAAATATAAATCAAGACAACACACCTGACATCTGTCTGCACACCTGCAAAAATGGAGAAAACAAAAACACAGCAACAAATAACGTGTACATCATAGTAATTATAACTTTGCTGAAATATATACATACATACATACACAATGTGTAAATATGTACAGTGGTTTGCAAAAGTATTCATACCCCTTGAACTTTTCCATATTTTGTCACATTACAA